GTGAGTGCGCCTTTAGGGGTTTGAATGATAGATAGTAGCCGATTCTCAGACTTAGTGAATCTGTATAAAAAAATTCATAAGAATCGGTCCAGCCGTTTCGGAGGAGTATGGGAACGAACATTGAGAAACGAGAATTTTATAACAATTAAAGGATACCCTTTAAATTGATGTTTTAAATTTTTAATCTCGGAGGTAGGTAGGAGGTAAGTTTAAAGACGATTTCAAAAATGGATAAAGTAATTCCAATTTCAAATTCTGATTTTAAATGATTACCCTCTGTGAGGTCGTTATTGGAAAAATATATAGCGGATATAAATTAATAAACCTTGAGAATTTGTTTGAAGATTATTCCTGTTTAAATGTCGATAAAATCCACGTCAGCAGCATTTTTAAAACAACAAACCTCTTAACTTACAAAAGATTCATGTATTAATATTTTTGCAAATGAAAATTTCGGATATACTATTAAAAGCTTTTACATCTAGCAATTAACAACTTGGGACTTGGAACTTCATCGTGAAATAAAAAATAACACGCGAAAAAATGCACTGAAATGTTCGTTAGATAAAAGTTATATCACGAGTGCCGGATATATAGGGAATGGAATATAAAATGGTTGTTTGTCCGCTATGGAATCCTAATGTACTTAACAGATATCAATGAAATTTGCACACCGTGTGCAATTTGATCTAACTTATAAGATAGGATAGCTTACATATATATAAAATTCTAATGTACGTGTGTATGTCACTAAACTCCTCTTAAACGGCTGGACCGTTTGAATGATTTTTTTGTATTCGTTTGGGTGGAGGGGTTAGATTCACAAAACAGCCCGGCAGATAGCATGCAGTCGGTACTTTCATATTTAATATCCTAATCGCTTTAAATCATGCAGGACAACGTCTGTGGGGTCCAACTAGGATAGCTTACATATATATAAAATTCTAATGTACGTGTGTATGTCACTAAACTCCTCTTAAATGGCTGGACCGATTTGAATTATAGTTTTTGTATGCGTTTGGGTGGCGCCCTGGATGGGTTAGATTCACAAATCAACCTGGCAGGTGGCGCTGCAGTCGGTACTTTCATACTTCGTTTAATATCCTAATTGCTTGAAATATCATGCAGGACAACGTCTGTCGGGTCCGCTAGCAGTCTATATAACTTTTAGATAAATTTCCTTAGATATCTAAAACAGGTTGCGGTGTCAGATGATTTTCTTAATAGACAGTTATTATTAAGAAAATTATCAAGGATGCGGATGCTGATCAGTTGATCAGCTTTCTGTGTATGCCTGAAACGCGGTGACAATGTTTGATCTGTAACAGTATATAAATAATACCTTAACCGAAGAAAATGCGCTATATATTTGTCTAGTGAAACTAGCCTGCACGTACGACATATACATAGGACGACCATACATAGGTCATTCCGTCACCATTACCCATTCGTCAGTGTCGTCACGACATTGCGGAGTTAGCACGGAATTCCTTTATTTCCTAAGTTGCCGAAATAACCACGAATAATGGAGATTAACTTGCAGAGAGATTTATTATGGCCTCAAGTATGATAGATCATGTACACGATACGTCTTCAAGTATTTAGTAAAATCGTCTTCTTTTGCCTACATCTTATGTGTTGGAGTTCTTAAACTCATAGTAGTGTTGGGTAAGTCTGCCTGAGGTGGTCACACGCCTGAGCAATGGACGTTTCTGTGTGCGCATTTAAATCTCCTTGTAGCAAAACAGAAGAGAGAAAACCGAAGAAAGATAAATTAAAATCGAAATACAACATACTTTTGTTATTTGATGTGCATACGATTAATAGTTATAGTATAACACTGTGGTTTCCTCTCTTTGACTATGTTTTAGTCCATATTTAATTAAAAGTATTAAGTTTTTATCAAAGAAGTATAATCTAGTAAGTACATGATACTGTATTATCCTTTTGAACAAGATAAATTATCTAATTCGCAATTCAAACTTAAATACCTATTCGTCTATAAGACAAATATCATAGTCAACAAAGTTAAATAAATATATTAAAATTCGAATGTACTCGAAATGAGCGTTCTGTAAATGAAGACAGTTGAGCAGCGTTTTACCTAATTGAATATTAACGAGTCATCCCAATCAGAGCTATTCACAAATGGTCCTTTGTGCGAACATTACGAACACCTTGTAAACTTTTCATTTAAATTCTCAATTTGCTCCCTACTAACAGTCTAATTGTTCGTTGCACATGAATCTGATATTTGATTATTTGATCAGGTTATGAAATATAAAAGACATCTTGATGACCATAGATGTATGTATATTGTATATAGTTTTAGTTACCAAGCTAAGCGAGCTAAATAAAAGTCACTTCGACGAATTTATGCACACATTAATAATATATAATCACCCATATCACTTTTTAATCAAATATACTTTTTAATAAAAACAGGCCTGTTCATCGAACCAAGGACGTCTAAATTACATTGTAACCAGCAAAACCGTGTTGATATATAAGTTTTGTGCCATGTGTCATTTTTTATATTTACATTAGCAATTGAATCTATAAAATTTACAAATTTTTCAATTATAGTAAAAAAATATTCAGTGGCGGGCGCTACAATCTTTTTTAGGTCTGCCCAGACCTTCAGGTTTCTAAATCTGTTTTATGATCCTTTGTCAATCTAATAGGCAAGAAGGCGATCTGCCTCCTGTATCTGTGTCTAAGGCAAGCCGGTTTCTTCACGGTGTTTTCCTTCACCGTTTGAGCAATTGTTAAATGCGCGAATAGAATGAAAGTTTATAAGTGTACAGCAGGGGATCGAACCAACAACCTCAGAGATGTCAGTCGCACGCTGACGCCACTAGGGCAACACTGCTTATTTTTTCATCTATAGTTAGATAAAACCAGTGTAAGACTCTTTAGGCTAATATAGCTATATTTGTCATAATCATACAAATAAGGGAAGAAAACTCATAGGCCCATCAATCGCCACTAACTCACGGCCAAAGCTAATGTCCAGTCATAAATCAGTTTCACCGCCAACCATTCCACCCTCTCCACGAATAATTTCCACCCGCCAAAATAAATATCACCTAACTAACACCGCAATAATTTCTCACCCTTGATAGTTGAAACGAGAGTGCTTATGAAGTTAATAAAGGATACTCTCAAAGGAGTGACTATAATCATTTTATTACAATAATAATAAGGCATGGTCACGTTATAATTGTGCGAACTACTAACGCGACCTGACCATACCTAGTCGTAATACAAAACTTTAATCGTTTAAAAATCAAAGTAATTTGGTATTTACTTCGCTTTTATCATTTAGGTATTTTATAATTAATGCCAGCGTAAACAAAAGATTAAGAAATATATATTTGAATATTTACCCAATCAGGGAAATGCCGACTTCGCGGCAATAACTGGCGTTAATATGACAACACCGAATAGACTCTAATCATTATATCAAGTTATGTGTCAGATATGCCTGTTTCTCGCTGACCATGATTGGTGTACTCTGTACTGTAGTACTCCAAACGTCTAGTAATATAATGTTATAATTAAAATCGTATAAGATTTTTCCAAATTAATCGATGATGATTAAATTGATGATGCCTTGACTTTTTATTTGTTATATATATTACATACTAGTAGACTCGGCCAAGCGTTGCTGTGGCTAAGATTTTTGTTATATTACATAGTAGTAAACTATTCAAGAAAAACGGCTGGAGAACACCAATCCACCATGCTTTTTTGGTGATTATTAAATTGTAGCTTATGTGAAACGTTGGTACTTTCAACACAGCGCCATCTGTTAGAATTGTGACTATGAAATAATAAACAAATATTTTGCAATAAAATAATATTGCGGGTATAAATTGAGATGTAAGCTATCCTATCTTTTAAGTTGGATCAAACTAAGCACGGTGTGCAAATTTGATTGATATCGGCTCGGTAGTTTAGGAGTCCATAGCGGACAAACAACGTGACACGTAATTTATATATATTAAGATTATGTGTATCAAAAGACTCTATGTACATTCTTTATGCCTCAAATTCTAACATACATTTAAAAAAAGTCTAAAACAAGTACAAAGTAAATAATCATTTTATTCGTTTTACAACTTTATTTAAATGTATACCATACTGCGGCGATTTATTATGTACCGTTACCTTAGTAATAAATTCCCAAATCGTGTACTGAACTGGGACTCTCTTTAAGCCTCTTGACGAATTTATGGATACGCTCGATATAAGCCCTAGTTTGCTAGGAGCATGTATAAATATTTTAAACTGACAAGATTTTTAATTAGTACTTTATAAATCTCTGTATTAATATAGATTTTGTCTATATATCTGTAGTAAATAAAACTATTCTACTACAAAATTTTACACAGCTCCACCACTATTAATCTATTGCCTAGTATGTAAGTAAAAAACTTAAACTCCGGGGCATTATTAATAATTACGTATTACAAAAAGAAGTTCTCGTGCCACGTCTCTCTGTTAGTATGAACCCGATAAACTCAAAAACTACTGAACGTATTTTTGTACGGTTCCCCATTATATAGTATTTAATATGAATTAATAATGATATGACCTTACCAAAATACACGAAAACTACACTGGCGGAAGTTCGATTACACTTAATTGCATATTTGCATATGATGACACGAAGTTGACACATCTGTTTCCGTTTCATTTATATATATAATATAAGGAATGTTATTAAGGATTTTTTCTAAATGAAAACACAAAATTGTTTCTCTGAAATACAAAGAAACGACATTTAATGTCCACTTATCCTTTAATCTATCTTTTTACACTATAATCCACTAAATTAATTTACACGTCATACGCCATTTTATCGTGTGTCACTCCGACGCGTCAAATTCAAATTAATGGAATATCATTCCATTACATCTCCCCCCCTAAGAGAAAAAATTCTGAATAATATATCTACACACTATACTTAATAGCTATCTTCATATTCGTTTTCCTTATATTTCATCTTCTTCAGATTCTGTTGTAACCGGTTGTAATTTTGTTATGTGGAACAAAGTTGATTCTGTTTTTCTGTTACCAGTGTCAATCCTATAAATGGAGTTCGATATTTTCCCTACTATCTTAAAAGGACCTATTTTTAATTCGTCTAATTTCTTTCTATTCAGTCTATTTCCATTCTCAACATATACACTGTCGCCTATATTAAACTCTTGCATTTTTCTTTTTCTATCAAATATTTTCTTATTGTACTTGTGGGATTTTATTGTATTTTCTAATGCCAATATTTTATCAGCAATCCACTTGTCTTCTCCTTCTATTATTTTTAATTCATTTGGTAGAATGCTGACATTTGTACCATCCAGTAAATATTTTGGTGCAAAACCTGTAACGGAGTGTTCTGTTTCATTATATTTCTCTATACATTCTCTTGCCACTGTTGTCCATGTTCTCTTATTATTTTTCTCATTTATTCTACATCTTATTTTATTAACTATTGTTTGATTTAACCTTTCATTCAAGCCATTTGAGAATGGTGTATTCACAGCTGTAAAAATTAATTTAACATTATTTTCATGTAGATATTGCTTAAATTCTCTTGAATTGATGCCTGGATATTGACCTGTCAAAATTATTCCAATCTCATCTGTTTCTAGTAAGTACATTATTTGTTAGTTTTATAAAATCACTTGCATTCTGTGTTTTTGACGTCACAATAAATGCATATCTTGTATAATGGTCTACTAAAAGGTGCAGGTACTTTTTTGTTGATCTAGATCCTCCAAAGCCACCTATAGTATCCATTGACATTATCTCAAATGGTTTTGTTGCTGGTCCCAGTTGTGACATTAATCCAAATTTTCCTTGACCTCTTGATTTATTTTTTATGCATATTTCACATGTTTTACAAATATTTATGATATTCTTTGTTAGGTTTTTAGCTGTGTATATTGGACTTATTTTTTTCTGTAATTGTCTGATCCCAATATGGCATAAATCTTCATGCACCTTTTTTATAAGTTTCTTACTAAATTCTTCTGAGAGGATAATCTTTTCATGTTTCTTTATTTTCTTATAATATATTGTATTTTTTTGTATTAGATTTTCTTTATTTTCTTCTATTGTTTCATTTTGCTCTTGATCTTCAACTATATCCTTTATTTGTATTAAATTAACTATTTTCAATAATTCCTCTTTGTTATAGTTGAGTTTTTCTTGAAGATCATACATTCATATTTTCCTATCTCGTTGAACAAATCAGTAGTGTTGTTGAGTTCGTCCCTGTTTAACTTATTCAAGATAAAACTAGGTAAACCAGTTGCAATTAGATCTATCATTGTTCTGGAATCTATCGATTTATTTATGTCTAGTATAAGCCGTTTTTTTATAGCATAATCAATTAACAGCCCTTCTTTATACTTGAATGTGAAAGCAGTTGTGACTACATCCCACCCTTGGTTCCTAAAAGTTTCTAAAAATTTGTCTTTTCATTCATTCCATTCAGAATTTACTGATAGTTTAATTACCATCGAGCTATACCAATCCAAACTGGAGTTTTCTAAAAATAATCTCAATATATCTATTTTTGTTTCATCTTTTGTTATATTAAAACGCTCACACTCTTTTTCAAAATTCTCTATCCATTGCACTGCATTAGGATTCTTACTTGTGAATTTTTCGATAATAAATTTCTCTGAAACATGTTTTAAATTATGTTGATTTTCTTTTTTTGTTGTAGATTCTATTAATTTTTCCAGGATATGTTGCAAATTATCATCATTGCCTCTTGGTTGTTTTGTGCTCATTTCCTCTAAATTTTGATCTAAAAATTGCATATTACCTTCCTCATCTATATATGTTTTCTTTAGATCTTCATCTAATTTTACCCATATCTTTCTGCTTTGGTGCCTTTTCTTTATACTATTTTTTATTTTTGAAAAAGTGTTCAATTTAACTATATATGTATGATGAATCACCGGCTTCAGTTCATCAGGTAAAACATAACATTTTCCTTCTTCTGTCAATATTGAAGTTATGGCCAATATATTAGATTTGCCATCGATTGAGGCTATCATCGTGAACTCAAGTTGCAGCCGGTCCATCTTCTTTTAGTTAACAAAAATGTCGTTTTATAAGGAATGTTATTAAGGATTTTTGAAGTTGTACTTCTTTAGGCGCGTTATGAAAAATTGATGAGAGTGAAATTTTACGATTGCGCGCGCACCTATGACACAAAATTGGCAGTGTGATATAGCGTGCGCGAGCGAGATGGGAATAAGACAAACTACAAGTAAAAAGAAATAGAATATGCGTGAAGCTAACTTCACGCATATTCTAGCTTAGCAGCTTAACAAGAATTTTGAATGACCATGACAATTGACATCTGACAATGACATTTACCTTTTAAACAAATATAGGAGTTTTAATTATTGTTTAAAATTAATAATTATATACCTAGTTATTTTCATTATACAAAATATTTGTGAAATAATATAAAATATTTGTGAAAAAACTGTGCTAACCTTCCTGAGTGCTTCAATACAATTGAGGTTAACTATCCGTATGTATTATCGAGTATTATTGTTGATTAAAACTGAAACATGAACCATTATTCATTGCTTTTGTTTATTGCGTTTGTTACAGCAACTTTTTAGAAATATTCTACGACCCTATATATCAATAATTGAGAACAAAGATTTAAGCACGAATACTAATAAGGAGAAAATGAAGGCTTGGAGCGATATAACAGAGAAGTAAACATTTTAATAAGTACCTGCATCTCAAAAAAATGACCACATTATTTAATCAAAACATCAGATTTAATCTAGCAAATATAAGGACAAGAGACAAAAAACAATTGATGAATCAGTGGAAGTGCACTAAATTGAATACAAAAAAAGAGTTGTCATCTTATCGCCGTGAAACATCAAAAACTGGAGGTGGAACAAAGCCACCATCACCTTCTCGAGACACAATGTTTTGAAGTAGATTTCAATGAATTTGATTGTGATGGTGTCGAGGTAGGAATGTTAATTATAAATATGATGTATGGTGATGTTCAAGGTTCAACCTTTCAAGCATAGGCATATGCTTACAACATTACTTTATTCCCCTACAGGGTAGTTAGAGATATTGTAATACCTCAAAACATCCATGTTGCACTTGTAGTACCGAAACTCTGTCCTGCCAGAAGTGAGCCCATTCCCACTTATAATGGACAGTGGGTATAATACACCTTAATACCTGAGTGCGAACCACTCACCATGATACTTAAATTAATAGATGTTATTTATATATTTCAGGTTATTACAAATAAAATCATTTTGGAAACAATTGATATCCCAAAAGCAAATAAAGCCAACAATGACAAGGTAATAAATCAGTTTTGACATAACTTGAATACTAAAAAAGCCAAACAAAGGTGTGCACAACAGTGACAACATAACTTAACAATTTCATTATTTTGTAGGATTAAAGAAAGGTTAAAGAAAATCATGTCGAACTGAACAACAAGAATCCCCAAACAACTCCAAAGAAACCTACAAGGAAGACACCGGTATTATATTTAAATTATCTCTATCTCTAAATAGAATAAAAGAAAGTTGCTATCCAGGTCTGTAGCATGTGCTACAAATTATATTATTAACACATTTATATAATTATAGTAATATAAATGTGTTAAAAAATTTATAATATGAATTATAAAAAAAATTTTTAATTAAGTTTTGCATGGACAGAGCTTAAATTAATATTCTCTTATTTGTTGCAGAAAGCAAGTAGTTTTGGAGGAGCCTCGTAGATGCACAACCAAGTAATGATTCATTTAAAATTACAAACCGAAATTCTGATGAAGACATAAGGGTCACTTAAAAATAAATAGTATAATGAAATAAAAATGTTTTAAAGATAAATAGTGTTTTATTTGTTTAATGTAAGAGAATAATAATAAATATTTATTTAATTAATTTTTCAAATGTAAACTGAACTTTATTGACTTTAATGACTCCTTTTCCAGTCTTTGATTATTTAATTGTAATTAATTATTTGCATGCAATCAAAAACTATTTTTAATAATGCCAAAGAAGTACAACTTCTTACGCGCGTACATAAGTACACGCACCCTTTTTTTTTCTAAATGAAAACACAAAATTGTTTCTCTGAAATACAAAAAAACGACATTTAATGTCCACTTATCCTTTAATCTATCTTTTTACACTATAATCCACTAAATTAATTTACACGTCATCCGCCATTTTATCGCATGTCACTCCGACGCGTCAAATTCAAATTAATGGAATATCATTCCATTACATATATATATATATAAGTCTTATGTCCTAACCCTATTAAAACTATTGTTTAATTTTAAACAGATTCAAAACTCATATTAATGACTTCCCAGAAAACAAAAACGCGTGGCAATAGTTTTAATAATATTGTTTAATTTGTTTTGTTATCTTTAAAGTGTTGTGAATATGTGTGTAATGAAGAATGTGGTAAATCACAGAATAGGTTTATATCTTTAAATGTAACTTTAATAACATTGTGGTTTATGACATTTTCCTTTGAATAGAGGAATAATGTAGAGGAAGGGTAAAACTTTCTGAGTTTCTTGCCCGTTCTTGAGAACAAGGCCTCCTGGTAGTTTTGCGAACGGATGGCGTAGTCTTGCTCTTTCGCGAATTTTGTAAACGTTTTTGACGTTCATAAGCATGCCCTAAGACGCATCTAAACTGAATAGACGTATTTTGACTAATTAGATTGAATGACTGTTTACTAGGCACTGAACCTATCCAGTACAGGCCTAGTAAACAATCAATCAATCAAATTTATTATTCTTCTATATATTTATATAATCAAATTTTGTATAATAATATATTTATTTATATATACGCCTCAACGAAAATTCACAATAAGTCCTTTAAGGGTAAAGTATTTATCAATTAGGAAGGGTAGCAGTAAATTAGCAGTGCAAATGGCGTGGAGAAAATAGCCTTCTTGGCTCTGACAGGCCCAGCCCAATAGCTATTAATAATTACAGATTTAACAAACCTTAAATATTACAAAATTTAGACAAATATTTATTTTAAGTCAGTCAAGGAAAACTTGTGACATGCCTTATTTAATTTATATGAATAAATTCGAATAATATCCAAGTTCTAGTAGTTAGGGCAATACATTTGTTTAGGATGGATGAATAGAAAAGCTTGGAAAATTTATCTATCTTTGCTTGAGGTGTTTAGCATGATTTGTATGTTTCAGACGTAGTGGTTCCCGTCTAAAAACATACTTTTGTCAATTGTTAGGAGTTTAATGAAAATTTATAACCGTAATTATGTTTTATCTACTTCTAATCATATAAAATAAAAATAATACATCTTTACTATTTCACTATTATTATAAAAACACAAGCTGACCCGGCAAACGTTGTTTTGCCATGTATTTTATTTCTAGGAAACATTTTTTAGTTCAATAAAAATACGTTCATAGGTTGTATGCATTTTTGTACGCTGTATCATAAAAAATATAAACAAAAATACCGTCTAAAAAATAAAAAATAAATTTAGACGTGGGCCAAGAAAACGAAAAAAAGATGTCCGAATCGCAGACCTTACCGACATGCACACAAAATTTCACGCAAATCTGTAGAGCCATTTCGGTGGAATGAACACCGAAAATTTATTATTTCGAGTGACACGATAATTTTATATAATTAGATTAAGAATATCACACTGATGAAGATGTAAATATATTTAAAATAAAATCTATACCACACTTTCACGAACGTATATATTTTATATTAAAAACTTCATATAAATCCTTTCACATTAACGAGTACACGTTAGTTTTACAATTGTCACCCAACATTTAAATTTCTTCCTAATAAAATTTTACATGCCAAAATCAGGTAATACCGTTCCATAAATAACTCCCAAACAAAGGGCAGTAGTCAAAAACCAATACGTTTTAATCCTATTTCAATTCATATACCAATTATTTTCATAAAACAAAACACGAAAAAATTAAAGCAGAAAATCTACATACTGTCGAATGCTTGGACTGATTTCTAAAGAAACTCAAATACTGGAAATATGTTAGGCCGCTTATAAACTATAGGTTCGTTCTACTACCTATGTTGGCGCTAAGTGAACAAAGGATTTCCACTACTACAGAACAAAGTTGGTTTTGTATGTAATGGTTTCTTTTAAGTTATTCTGTGAATATATATATGATATCAAGTTAAAGATGTACCAGCATGTTATTTGTTTCTTATTAATCACTTTTATTAAAATAGCTATTTATATTTTGAAATTGTAAATGAAAATTAAAGTCAAAATACAATAATTAAAATAAGTTTTTTCAAACATTTGCTGTAATTACAAATAACGTATAATGGGAAAATTTTCCACAAGATAAAAATATTGTGTAGAGTATCTTATTTCTACGGACTATATACGATTCCTCTATTTATGTCTAGCAGAAATACCAACTATTGAGAGAAATAAAGACCTTTAACACGGGTTCAATTATTACATTAACGGTTTATTTTCATTCCAACCATTCAGATGCGAAAAGTCTTCGATAAATCGATTAAAAAGCTTTCAGGATAAAATAACTTGAATATTTCCAGGAAAAATATGAAAAGATGAAACAGCAAAGGAAGCATTTTAATTGTAAAAATCGACTAATATTGGATTAAGTTATCTCATTAAACTCAGGCTTCGTTGCGGAAGTAGATTTGGAACTCGCTGACTCTGGGTCAATACCCATAATAACAAATGTAATTGCTAAGAGAGTCAGATATTTGTATGGGAGATGTCAATTGTATTTAAAACGTCGGCCTTTCTATACATCTATATATAGAAAGGGGCGAATTCAATTCTTTTTTATAGAACAATATATGTCAGACATTCGACTGATATTTTTGACCCCACGTATTATTATTATATAGTGGTAATGTTAATATAAAAAACTGATATATGGAAATTAAAAATACCATTCTTTATTAAAATAAATTTTCCGAATATCAATTCAACAATTATTTATTCATTTAGGTAACAAAATGTACACTTATGAACGTCAAAAAGAAATACATATTAAA